CTCCTTTCTGGCACAGTAGTACATTCCAGAATCGTGACTTGTGACATTGTGAATCAGCAACCTGCTGTTCGTCTCTAGAGAGTAATGTTTTCCAAACCCGTTGTAATAAAAAGGGGTTGTGGATGTGGACTCAAAGGAGCGCAGGATGGCCAGAAGGAGCTCTGCCGAGTCCTGTCTATACCAGTAAACTTCTCCAGTGCTGAGGGGACATTCAAGAGACACATTCTGTCCAGGACTCACTGACCGTCCTGTCAGACAGTGAGCCTGCAGACTGAGGAGAAGCACACCTGCAACAGTGAAAAACACCCAGAACTGAATTCATTTCTGAAAATAATTAAGGGTACAAAATGTTTACATTTTTAATATAATTCAATATAATTCTGAAAGTCTGAATAAGTGAAACATTTACAGTAACATCTATTCTTACATATTTGCAGCTTAATATTACTTTGAGAAGACATTTTTTCTTTTAAAATAATCATGACACTGACAGTGATCTTCTGAAAATAATTAAGGGTACAAAATGTTAACATTTTTAATATAATTCAATATAATTCTTAAAAATCTGAATAAATGAAAATTTTAACATGTGTACTTACATAATTGCAGCTTAGTATTACTTTGAGAAGACATTTTTTCTTTTAAAAAAAGTGAAAAATGAATGATGTTTCAGTAGAGAGTCAGCATCCTTGAAATTCTGTTTGGTGTTGCGGTAAGAGATACAATCAGACCAGTTAGACTTAGAATTTCACATATTTACTTATAGATGGACATTCACACTGGGAAAAATTAAAATCAACAAGAATTCTTTTTTATTGTCTAGAAAAAATCAATTTTCTTCATTAGCTTTTAAAAATACATTTTAATATTTTTGAAAATGAAGTAAAGAACGAATCCACATGCATACTGACATTTTAAGTCCAGCTTTCTGTTACATAGAAATACCATGGTTTTTTTTTAATATACCAAAAATATTTCATTATAAAGCCAGCCTCCCTGCAGTTCTGCTTGTTATTCCAGTAAGATAAAACTACAGCAGTCACAGGCAAGTAAATCTAACAGCTTTTGTTAAGGGAGGAAGTGTTTTTAAGACGTCCCCTACAGTATGGTAAGCACAGGATGGAAACTGATTTGAACTGTATATTTTTTTGTATACTGAAAAGAGTAGGAAGAAAACACAATGTTTCGGCCATGGAGCCTTCTTCAGGTGTGAAGAAGCCTTCTTCAGGCCCTCACAGCTGAAGAAGGTTCCACCGCCGAAACGTGTTCTCTTTCTTCTCTTTTCAGCATGGAATAAACCTATTACTTGTTCCTTTGCAGCCTACGCATGCTGACACAGCTACCCACCTCAACAATTTTTTTGTGTATTTTGTTGTTAAAAGTTTAGTACATTCCAAAAATTTCAGACTTACAGCACTTTTAAATCATTTGCAAAATGATTAATGACGTCGGCAAAATAAACCTACAAAATCACATATTTGTGTTCTTGTGCCAGTGAGTGTGTGTTTTAGTGCAGAGTGATCTGTGAGTATTGAAATTAATCCTAAATAAGGATTACATTCAACATATCGCATTGAGCTGTGGGCAGTACTATAATTTTGTAATAACCAACTAGATAAATTGTTTTGAATTTATTTTACACCAGATTCCTATTTTTAAACCTTTGTAAGAGCTCATAACATCACTAAATGTTTTTAATATGAAGAAAATAAGACTAATTGTTGGAGTTTTGTGGGATTTCACGTTTACTGAAGACAATGCATATAGAAATAAAATTTTATAATTATAATTAAAATTAAATTTTATAGTATATAGGTTTATGCTACAGTATATCTATATACCATATTTGACAGAAAATCTTTACAAAAAGTTTACTGCATTTGATGGCTCAAATCAGTGCACACGGATTGATTTCATTATTTCGTGCACACGAATTGTAAATCGTTCACTCTTCTCATTGACAAAGAGATGACTGGGAGACAGCAGAACAGCAGATCTAAAACAAATAGTCATTTAAAAGAGATTGGAAAGGCAAAATTCTTTTTTATTTCAATTTAGAAATACAATATTTTTATTTAGATAGA